GATGACTGTATATTTTTGCCTTTAGGTTTTTATTATAGACTATCTCTAGTACATCTCGGCTTTCGCAATCGCCTCTCGCGGGATTTAACTGACTTTGCATTCCAGCCATGGGCCCCTAGCTTTAGGTGATTGTGAATTCACAATTTCTGCGTTGGAGGTCGGGCACCCCAGGGATTCTTCAAATGTCTTCGGCAATCGGGTCATTGCTTTTTTTAAGAAACCCTGGTTATCTGTTGCTCAGAGACTTCCGGTAAACCTATGGGTTCTTGTTTTGACGTCTGGTGGAGACCGGTCGCCTTGTTATTCACAGTGCACTCCTAAAGATGCTCACTCGAGTCGCACGTAGACGTTTCCTCGACGATTGAGAGGACCAGCTAGATACTTTACACCTCTGGCACTGGCCATCTAATTTTTACAAACGGACTTACTACGTTGGTTGCGAGTTGGTTCGTCTGTCGGCTAAAGAACTGGACTTCGACAGTTGTTTGACGACTCCGTCTGATTCCCTGCGCCCGGCGAGTGTGGGTAGGAGGGCCAGTGACATGATTGTAAATAGAATACGCATCTTCCACGTTTAGGGGCATCATAGCTGGTCAGGGGTTCTCGCGTGGCTGATCCGCTTTCGAATGGGGACCCGACTGCCGTGGCGGGGCTAGACCTTGCCCTCCTGAGCTCCGGTGTGGACGTTTAGGAAGTTTACTTTTGATGTGAGTGATCTTACCTAGTGATCCGACAGATGGCGTTTTACGACCTGCGACAATCCGCTGTAACTAGTCTCAGTTGATTGGCTAATGTAATTTAGGAAAACGTGCTCTAACCGGCTACGTTGGGTTGGGCCTCTGCTAAGATCTGCGTTGCCTCCGGTCGGGAGTTGTGGTCAAAGTTAGAGCAACAGCAATAAACTCTTGGGACGATTAACGAAGGAATTTGCGAAACCATTGGAGTCACCCGGAATGCAGCCGCAAGGACAGAGTGGACCGAGATTGCCGCTAACAAAAGCGTGCTCTTGGGCCTGGCGGACCATCAGCAACAATGCTACCAGATGACGACAGGCTGAGGTCTGGCACGGCGACTGCCTCATAGAGTGTCGAAGTCCCGGTGACGGCACTTTGACCTGGCGGCTGTGAGCGGCCAGTAGGTAAGTCTGCCACCACTGCCTGCCGGTTAGGTTCTTGAACCGAAAAGCTAGAGAAGACAACCTCTAACAAACCAAGTGACCTTTAGGAATTCGCCCTACTCAAAATCCCCTTGAGAGTGTTCGGATACAGATTACGATCCATGCCACGGCATCGATGGGACTGACCTTGGTCCGATGGCACACGTGAATAGTATGCGAACCGGACTAGTCAGTTTCGGACGGACTCTTGGTAATGGATACAAGAGCTTGCGAACGTTTCTGGATCCTGGTACCGGAGGTGTGAGTCGACTTTCACTTCACTCTGCCACGGTGGTCCACGCGACTTCTTGCTGTTATCCTCAGGTGGTCCCAGGCTGTCTGTGATTTTCAGACGAGGTCCATCCAAGTCGAATTCCGAGTTGGGCGTGGACGCGTGGACCAGATATTCATACTGAGGCGCAGTCTGGTGTGTCGCCATGGCCGCCAACAACCGGCGGCCATCCGTCTTATTGATATTGTCACTGCGTTTGACTACAACCATCATGAGTACCCGTGGCGAATAACGGGATCAGATGGTATGCCGGGAGAAATCATGGCCATGGACGAGGCCTGTCACCGTGCGAACACTGCGCATGTTCTGATCCATAATAATCTCAATCAGCTGGTCGATATCTGATGTGGCGTTCGGTGAGGATATCTTCTGTTGTCCGTCCTGTCCAACTGGGTCATTGGGTACATTACCGGGAGGGGCTTACACGGTCTTGGCTGTGTTGGGTTCGCACCGGGACGTCAGTTGACCGGTCTTGTCTACTCTGGCGATATCGCCTTGGCAGCCTGGTGGTCGTGGTTGAATTCAGTCTCTTCTTCGGTCGGTTTACCCACAAACGCTAGGGACGCCGAATTTTGTCGAGCTGCGTCCCTGGCCAGGGTAAGGCACCCGTCGGAATTAGTCGGTGTCATTTTGGAAAGAAGTCACTTTGAAATACCCGAGACGAGGTTGCTGTTCAAAGGACAGAGTAAGGACGACATTGCCTGCCGTATCGGTGCGGGTTTCTGGAGCTCTGTAAGGCGCCTGTGGACTGACGCGACGTCCCCACCGACACTATTTTCCACGTGTGTCCTGCATCCATCCGGGTGGTTCTCTATGGTTGTGGATGCTGGGATTTGCACATGGGAGATGAGTGGGAACTGGGAGCATTTGACCGCCGTTGTTTGGGAAGCATCTGCCGAGTGAAGTGCACCGACCTTGTTCCAGGTGAGACAGTACGCACTGGTTGCGACAGCATCAGGAGGATATCTCAGGCCATCCGAGATGCTTTCTTGTCGAACTGTCGCGGGAAAACAATTCAGGCAGTGGTGAAACAGTAGTTTTTCTCGAAGTCTGTTACAGAAACTCGTGATTAAGCAGATTGAGTCCTGCACTGAGGTCAGCACAGCAAAGGGTTGATGAGGTTCCGAGATGCCCCGTGACGGACGTCCGGTCAGCACATCCACATCAGTCTTCGAGCAGCCCACATTTGGGTACCGTCCTCGCATCTTGAGCAATTTGGAACCGCATGAAAGTACCGATGGGAGGCCTGCACCAGTCTCGATGATAGTTCTGTGTTGAGTCTATTTTCTGAAAGACTGATACAGAGGTGAGGTCCCCCCCCCGTCGTTAGGTACGATTTGAATTGTTGGTTGTCCAGTTAATTTGGGTTGACAACGACTTATGCGATGTTGAATAAATTGAGGAAGAATGGGAGCCTTCTTCTGAAGAGGAGGGGCACTGGAGATGTTTGGATATCAGTGCTACGAGTGCACAAAAAACTCCTGGGCTGGTGCTCAATCTCTGCGAATCTGTTGAACATCTCGATGCATGGGGGCTACCACAGACTTGCAGCAAAGTCGGGTTTTCGAGCACCATCGAGACCTGAGTCTTAATTCACAGAAGTCGCCATTTGAGACTTATGTTGCAGAGTTAGCGGGATCGGTCTCGGGCCGTGTGGACAGACAATTGTAGTGTCCGTCAGAAATTCCAGTCACATCGGGGCTTCGGGTTAGGCCGGAAGTACCTCCAGTTTTGTCACGGACAGGAATTCGAAGTTGGCCGTTGATTGTTGGCTTTTCGGTCAGTGCTACAAGGGGGACGGAATTTCTGTGTTGATTATTCGGTTTTTTCGAACTGTCACAATTTAACCTCTGTACCTGGTTAGGGTAGTGTAAAAGACAAACGCTCTGGCGTGTGCCCACGAGAACGCGGTCTGAACCACATAGGTTTGTGGTTTCAGTGCTACGCATTGATTTTCGTGCACGCTAGCGCTGTGGCTTGAGCTGGCCGGGAAGCAGTTGCACTGACTGGCCACGAAGTCGTAAAAATGGTCGGATCGGGTGCTTACAGCCATGTTGGGAGCCTACCGTATTGGCAAGCTGCCGCTTGGTTTACGAAGTTCAGGAATCCTTCATTGTTTTGATACAAATAACCAAGACCGAAGCAAATATGTAGGTGTTTATTTAAGGTTACCTGACCCAGTCCCCGGTGTAGATCAGTTGGTCACGCCAAAAGTTTGGTAGTTAGATGCTGCAGTTGCGGGTAGAATTGCATCTATCTCGCAGATTGTAGCTGACGCTGGGACTACATGTAACCGATGGAGGCGTTACTAGCGTGCGACTCCAGCTTTGTGTATATTCGTCGGCCGTCGACTGTCGCCAGGCCGAGCACGGTTGTAAATGGTAATGTCTGCGATTGGGGTCACCGGCTGCCATGGTAGAAGTGAAACGGAGTTCGCGCCGAAATTTTGATTTCCCGAGAACCCGAGTCAGGAGTTCTACCTCTTCTGTTTAGGCGAAGGCTGCAGAGTATAAAGCTTTAGGTAACAGCCTCTGTAATCTTTCGTGTGTCCGAATATCCGGTGCCTTGAACCCCTGCCAAATTTCTTAGTCGTTATTTACCCTTCAGAATTTGAGCAGGGTTGTAGGCCGCTTCGATTTTGATTGAATACTAGGCGCCCCATATACACCGCGTATTTTACTGTCATACCTGAATAAGATTCTTACATCTGTCAGAGTGGTCCTTTTCTCTCTGACAGGACTGAACACTCATGGTTGGAAGGCTTCAGCCGAACTCCGTTACTGGGCGTAGGACGCCGCAAAGATATTTCTTACCCGCTGTTCCCGACGGCTGACGAGGTAGCCGCCAAGGTGACGCCTTCACATTTCACACTGTCTTCATTTCAGATTGGAAGTATTAGGGGGACGGCTCCCTCGGCCTAGTCCCAGGCAGAGCTCGACAAATCACTCACTCCCCATTTCGTTGGTGGGCACAAGTCTGAGCCGTCACACGTTGGTCCACAATGCATGTGGTCGGTTCAGTACTAGACGTACGGCGTGTATGGGGTGTCCATGTGTGGGTCTACGTGATGGTTGTAGTAGGTCGCTCACTTGCTAGCATGTGCTGACTACACCTGACATTAATTGGCCCTAACTCTCACCGCTAAACAAGGTGAGGGTATCTCTGTGTGTATCTCTGCACACAAAAACGGCGTTCCCATCCCCTAATCACCTTTTATTTTACCTTCTTTCTCTTCCCCTACTTTTCCTCCACCCTTCTCGTACTCTTTCCTCAGACCTCCCCACCTCATTCCCCCTTTTTCTACTCCCAATTCTGCCGTCACTCTTCTCCGCCCTGCTCCTGCTTCCCTACTCTCTACTGTCTGACCCCACGGTCGGAAGCCCTACGACGAGAGTGACAGCAGTCGCGTAGGTGGCCCAGGCCATTGGTCATTCTCTCGCTGAAGCCTGTGACCCATAGGGGAGAGCGACAGCCGTCTGGTGCGACAAGGCAGTCCTATTTAGGGATAGCACTGCTTTCCCCTACGAGGGAAAGGGGACCATAAAATGTGGACTAAGCAATGCTGGGTTCACTAAATCTGACCGTGGCTTACAGACTGCTTAACATGCAGTGGAAACCAAAGCACAAGACAAAATGCCCTCTTCCTTCCTACTCCCACTTCGTCCCATCCCACAGGAAGCTGGGGTGAGTCCGCCCTCCCTGGCAGTCTGGAATGTTCGCTTCCTTTTAGATGATCCCAGGAGCAACCGGCCGGGGCGGATGACGGCACTAGTTGCTTGGGGACTGGCGCGTTATAAGGTGGGCATCGCTGCACTCACCTAGATCCGGCTCTCCGAACAAGGCCAGCCGGAGGAGGTGGGTACCAACTACACCTTCTTCGGGAGCGACCATCAGTAACCTGCTGGCCGAAAAGAACAGGCTGCATAGGGCCTACCTCAACCGGCAAGTCGATGCGAACAAAGCGCCACCTTGCGAGAAATGCAGGACTCCTGGATAGCTCGCAAGACCAAGGAGATCCAGGGGTACGATGACCGCAAAGGATCAAAGAATTTCTTCGCTGTAATCGAGGCGATCTACGGCCCCCCAACCAAAGAAACTGCGCAGCTTCTCAGCCCCGATTAATCAACGGTTTTGTCGAAGTCGCAGATTCTGAAGCGCTTGGTCGAGCACTTCAGAAACGTCCGCAACCGTCCCTCCACACTTCCGACTCCACCATCGACCATCGGTTCCCCAAGTGGAAAGCAACGTCGACCTGAACCTCCCGCCCTCCCTTCTAGAAACCATCCGTGCTGTGCAACACTCTCCAGCGGGAAAGCTCCGTGCTCCGACGCAATCCCAGCCGAAATCTACAAGCACGGCGGCCACCGCCTCATGGACCAATTCACCACGCTATTTCAGGAGATGTGGCGCTGTAGAAAAGCTCCTCCGGATTTCAAGGACGCGCCTTTTGTGCACCTCTACAAGCGCAAAGGGGACCGGCAAGTCTGTGACAATCACAGAGACATCCCGCTACTCAACATCGCAGGAAAGATCTTCGCCTGCTTCCTCCTCAATCGCGTCAACAGACACTTCGGGCAAGGACTCCTGCCAGAAAGCCGATGTGGCTTCCGACGACACTGAGGCACCACTGACATAATGTTTGCCGCTCGCCAGCTACGGAAGAAGAGTCAGGAGACGCGAACGCGCCTCTACATTACCTTCGTGAATCTGAATAAAGCCTTCGATACGACGAATCGCAAGAGACTGTGAAAAATCATGCAGGAATTCGACTGTTCTACACGATTCACGCACGTGGCACGTCAGCTCCACAACGGGATGATGGCGCGTTTCATAGACAACGGTGCAATCTCCGAGGCGTTCGCAGTGACCAATAGAGTGAAACAGGGCTGCGTCCTTGAGCTTACCCTCTTCCGTCTCATGTTTTCTGCCATACTTATGGACGCCTACCGTGATGAGTGCCCAGGGATACGCATCGCCCACAGAACTGGCGAGCATCTTCACAGCTGCAAGAGCATGCAGTCCCCCGTGCGACCATCAATGATAACTGTCTGTGACCTGCTGTTCGCCGACGACTGCGCGCTCAACACCACGACCAAAGTGGACATGCAAAGGTGGATGGAACTCCTCACCGCCAGATGCGCCAACTTCGGCCTAACTATCAATACGGACGAAATGGTGACTACGCACCAACCGTCACCCACCATGCAACACTGCACTTCTTCTCATATCACTCACGAAGGCCGCCAAATAAAAACCGTGACCTATTTTGCTTATTTCAGAAACACACCTCCCAACAGCTTCCGAATCGACGATGAGATTGACCACCGTATCTCCAAAGCCAGCCAATCCTTCGACCGGCTGAGGAACTCCGTGTGGAAACGTCACGGCCTCCAACTGAATACCAAACAAATAGACGGCGTTGCTATGGGCTCGCCTCTTGAACCTCTCCTAGCCGATGTCCTCATAGGCAGCAGCTACGGCACACTCCCGCATCAGCACCCGCAACTCCCAACACCATTACTCATCACAAGCACCCAATTGTCACCTCCCACGCAATTAGGAAGTGTGCTTCTTGGCTCATTCTCCGTGCGCCTGCATGTATGATCCGAGTCTGAGGCTATCAGGGTGCGCCTAACGCCGTGGCTTCGATGGCTGCCGACTGACGCCTCAAATCAGTCCAGGCAGTCAGCCCACTTTTGTGTGTTTGTGGGGAGTGACGGACTGGTGGGCTGAGAGTCAGACTGTCACGGCTTCGTCTTGATTGGTCCGTGACACTCTCATGCGTGTGAGGAGTGTGTGTGCCTTACAGGTAGTGTGTCTCAGTTGACGACTGTTTGGTTACCCGGCCTTTAAGGATGACGGTCCAAGCAAATGCAGGTCTGCAAGCGTCTGCTTTATCAGGACCAGCAAACCACGGTCCTCGCAGCCTGGTGTGCGCTGGTAGATTTCCGACAACTGGGTCGCTGCCGGCAGATTCACTTACGCCCCGCTGGGTATTCAGATCCTTAGCACGGTTGCCCGATCACCCTCCTCCTTCCAGACCAACTCTCATGCTCAAATCTATCAGAGTAAGCTAAAAGCCGTAGGTTTTAAGGATACAAACTGACGACATAGGTCGGTTCTTATCGGAGGACCGCAGGGGAATTCAGATCCTGAGCACGGTTGCCCGATCATCCTCCTCCTTCCAGACCGTTGTGATGCTGTTGTTGGCTAAAATCCTCATCCAGCATTTGTTGTAGACCTGGGGATGTGGAGTGGAGCGAAAAGGTGCGGACTCGGCCGCGACATCCACCTGCGCCCTCTCCCACCTCCAGTCTTCTTGACTGTCTTCATGCCGGACCCAGTTGGGGGGAGGAGGGAGTTCGGTAGATGTTGTGAGAATCTACCAGCACTATAAACTAATTCACGTGTAAGCCACCGCCCATGCTCTCACCTTGTTATGGAGCGCACGATGGGTATCGTCGGATGCGACGGCTGAACTGTCATATTAATATGCATATCCCGTTCATCATCTCTAAAAAAAGACAAAAAAGAAACAGGGGCGATTCTATGGACCACACTGTATTTATGCTGACGTTTCGGAAACCTCCTCGTTTCCAGCATCAGATTGGTGGAGTGTTTGTTCCTGCTAGCTCAGAGTTGTTCTGTCTCGCCGCCTGTCTTGTGTTATTGGCGTGCCTGATGCACGAACTATGACCTGCCTGTTGGCGAAGGATTGGTTTTGGGTGCCCCGGGGCCGATCGCTGGTGCGCACGTGTGACCTCTGATCCCTGCCCGGCCGTCTTTGTCGCTGCTAAGTCCGTGTGCCCACGAACTCTCCCCGCATAACCTGATGGGCTGATCAGCTGCCGTTCGGCAGTTTGGGTGCGTTATCTTTTGAGGATGGTGAACGGGATAATTTGTCTGGACCTCGAATCTTCACTCACGCTGCGTGATGCTGTTGTGAACGATGGTACGACAACAACCATCAGGAGACTAATGACTAACGGCAGTCAGAGACCGAGTTCAACGCAGTATCCATTTACTTTACGGGATGGTGCCGATGGATATCACTTCAACGGTAAGATGATAAATCCAGTCAGTGATGAGGTAACGCACATGAAATGCAGCGCAATGAACCACTACTCCTACCGACTTATGATTCGACAGAATATAAGTAATCCCCTTTTGAAATGTCACCAATTGCTTCACCACTACAGTGTGGATATGTATGCAAAATTTGAACCAGAACGCCTGCGTTTCATTCGCTTGAATCAGACCAAACTGAGCTCTGAAGAATATATTCCTATGCATGATGCAGTTGCAAACGACGGTAACACGACTAGCGATTTTGTCGTCCACGCCATATGCTCGGGCACGCTCGAGGTGCAATTGCTTATGTTTGTCAGTACGGGGCCTCCAGACCTACAGCTTGCATTCACATGCAATCCAGCCTGGGTGAATATTTATCAGCTCTTGCTTCCTACGCTATCGCCGGTGAACAGGAATGACATCACAGCACGTGTTTTTAAGAAGAAACTGAAATCGCTGATGAACTTCATGATGAAACACGAGGTGTTTGTGTCTGTGTGCTGCTGGATGTATTAGGGGAAT